CTGTTGGGAGAGAAGGGAAAAGTGAGTTAGAAATTATTTCAGGAGAACACAGAGCAGAGACCACCTCTGCTCCACTAACCCCTCCCCGTCAGCCCCAAGTATGGAGAACTAAACTTAGGATCAGTTTTTAATTTGGATTAATCCGTCCACCCCGCCCCACGTCAAGTCTCCAATTGAAACACAGTTTTTGCCCAAGACACTCAGCACAGCCAGGCCTGCCTCCCCCATCCCTGCCAGCATGGCACTGTCATCTCCCCTGGCATGACAGTGAAAAGCAGATTTGCTCAGTGGGGTACCTAACGCTGCTGCCAAATGAGCTGCTGCCCATCAAAGCCACCTGCACCTTTTTATATTGGCATCTTTGTACAAAATAAGGCACGTTCAATGGTGAAACACAGACCAGATTAACGGTATAAGGGATCAGGTTCACCTGGTGCTTTCCTCTTTAGTTCCTAGCCAACGACATCTACTCCTTTCCCAATAATAAATCCATAAAGTATTCCTTGATTTCTTTTGATTTTTTAATTCTTCCTCTGAGAATCCTCTGTTTTAAACAGGAAAATCATCTCTATGAAACTCAGATTCCAACAGGAGTTGGACACTTTGACCCTTCCAACTCCCATTTGGAGGGACGTTGTACAAGTTAAAAGAAAAGCACTTTAAAGCACCATGCCCAGAAGGATGCTGGAAGAAATTTGTTACCAGCTGAATTTTAACACTGAACATCACATTTTCCTTCACATGGAGCTGATCAAGTCTAACAGAGTACATTCCTCCAGGTCTGCACAAGCCACAGGACAACTCTCATCATGCTGACCCAGCATAGAAGCTTTTTCCATCACTCACTCTCCAGAGTAGAAGGTCTTGAGTTCAATTTTTGCTGTGTTACTCACTATGAGACCACTCTGCTTGACGAAGGTTTTCTTCTCGCTGGTTTGTGTTACGTGCATCAGGATAAATATGGGAAGAAACTATCTATGGGAAAGACCCCTCACAAAGTGGAGGCATGGTGATGCAAAGCACTTGGGATGTTGGCTGCAGGACAGACCACCTCATTGCTTCTCCGTAAAAGCTCAGACCCAAGAAGGCCAATGCAGTTGAGAGACCCAGAGAGGGGCTCTCCCCTGACCAGAGAACCCAGAAAAGCAACCCAGAGATGATGTGGGACCTCTTAAAAGGTCCACCAGCAACATCCAGGTTGCAGCTCATGCTGGGGTGCAGCCCTGCATGGACAGGGAGGCCTGGGGTTAACCACACGCCTCGTTACACACCTCTGACCGACAGCCGCTGCCCAAGGGAAAGCGCTGGAGTAAGATCATCTCAGGGAAGCGCTGGCACATGGAGCCAGCTCCTCTTGGAGCTGCCCTTTCTACCCAGCTCCTCCTGCAAAAGGGAGGACCCAAGGCTGGAGGTGACCCAACTGGCCAGTTTCCATATCCCCAACCAGTTTAACAAGGAGCAGCCCAATGTCAAAGCAGCTACCAGGCGTTCACCATATTAAAATGGAGTTTCACAGGAGACTGGAGAAAAAAGAAAATACACCTTCATTACTGACGCTTCATCAGCCATGCTTCCAGATTTGCCTTGCTGAATCTAGTTTTGGCTATTTGGCACAGCAGCAGCTACACTTCCTGCCTCAAAACACAAGATTTTCGTCCAAAGAGCCTGAGGAAGACCCAGGATCATTCTAATCCAGCCAAAGTGGTTTACAGATTTACCCAAGGGAAAAAGGGAAGACCACTTTGTCCTTTCCACCCTTCTTGCTCACTTCTGCCCACAGTCAAATCAGGACCGTAACAGGCAAGAAATGGCAGGCAGGTACAGGACAGCAAGCGTGGCAGCACTACGTGTTTTCCCAGCTTACCCTCCTCAGGTTTATGCAGTATAACACTGGCAGCTATTTTAGTGAGCCAACTGAATTGGGTGTCAGCACACAGGCACACACGGCAGGGAAAAAGCTTTAGGACGAAAGTGTCAGTGGCATCTCTGGCTTTGGTGTCTGGTTTCGGTGCTGCCACTCAGCAGCGTCCCGGTGACCTCTCTGGAAAACAGCGGAGTTAACACCAGGGTTTGACCCAAAATGAGCAGAACCAGCCAGTCTTTTGAGGGCCTCTTGCAAAAAGGGTTGGCTTCCCAAATGCATGCGAGCCCCCACCGCACCACAGACCATGGTGAGCTTGGAGGAGGGATGTTTCCGAGGTAAATCAAAACAGCACACAGTGACCAGAAACAAGAACGTAGGAAGCTGAGCCCGAGATAACCGATATAGGGGTCACATGTGAGCTCAAAGTTTAGGCACAGAGTTACAGCTGAGGAGGGGTTAAGGAGAAGAACCCCCAGGAGAGGCCAGGCCCTCGCAGCCACAGCCCAAATTTCACTGAGAGGTCAAACAATATTCATAACTGATTAATGGCTGGGATGGGCAAGAGCGTGCTGTTAAGCAGATTAAGGTACAAAATATGACCTGTGGCAGCCAGAATCCGTGACACCTGCCCCAGAGGGCAGTTAGCTGGGAACTGCTTTTATTTTGGGGTTAAAATCAGAACAAATCAAGCTTTAAAGGAAGCGACGGGGCCAGTGCCGTCCCAGGGCGGCGGGATGCCGGCCCTGCCGCTCCAGCACCGGGCGTTTCAAGCCCAGGGCAGCCGGGGGCCCCGGGGCAGCTGGTGTCAGGCGCTGACCCTCTGCGGGGGCCGCAGCGTCGCCCCCCGCCCGCCCGCGGCCGCCCCGGGAGCCCCGCCGGGCCGGAGCGGGGGATGCACCGGGGGGACCCGGGGGCGGCCGCACGTGCGGGCGCAGGAAGCGGGGCACGGGACACCCCGCCCGCCGCGCGCGCCCCTCCACCCTCCCGCGCACACAGGCCCCTGCGCCCGCCAATCAGCGCCCGCCGCCACCGCCCCCTCCCGCCTATAGGAGCGCAGCGATGTGCCGAGCCGCCTTACCATTGGCCGCGCCGCGCTGCCCTTCTAGCGGCAGTCCCGCCCTCCTTCCCCCCCCCCCCCACACACACGCCCCGATGCGCCCGGGCGGCGGCGCCAAGGACACCGGGGAGCGGCCACAGCCCCCCCACTCCGCGGCCCGGAACGCCCTGCCCCCCGCACACCCCCTCCCGGCCCGGCTTGGCCCGGCCCGGCCCGGCCCGGTCCGGCCTCGGCACCCACCTCCGCGCCCGTGCGCCCCGCTCCTGGCCCCGGCTCTGACAGAGGTCCCCAACCGCCCGCTGCCGCGCCGCGCCGCCCCGCCCCGCCCCGCGCCGTCCCGCCCCGAGCTCTGCGTCACCACGTCGTCACGCCCTCCCACCGCTCCGAGCACCGCTCAAGGCGCCTGCGCCATCGCCTCCGCGCGCCGGTCAGGGAAAGCCCTCCCCGGGGGCGGGGCTTGGGCGGGGGAAGGGGGTGGTCGCCATGGTTACCCGGCGCGGCCCCCGCCTCAGGCCTCTGCCTGGGGACACCTACTATGGCCTGGGGACCCTCACCGCGGCCAGGGGACCCCTAGCATGTCCTGGAGACCCCTAGTATGTCCTGGAGACCCTCACCATGGCCTGGGGACCCTCACCACAGCCCACGGACCCCTATTTTGCCCTGGGGATCCCTACTATGTCCTAGGGACCCTCACCATGGCCAGGGGACTCCTACTATGGCCTGGGGACCCCTAGTATATCCTGGGGACCCTCACCACTGCCTGGTGACCCTCACCATGTCCAGGGGACCCCTAGTGTGGCCTGGGACCCTCACCACAGCCTGGGGATCCCTGGTATGCCCTGGGGACCCCTATTATGTCCTGGGGACCCTCACCGAAGCCGGGGAACCCCTAGCATGGCCTCAAGACTTCTGTCACAGCCTGGGGACTGCCACTGTGTGATGTCCCTCCCGGTGCCCTGGGGGATCCCCACCACAGCCCAGGGACCTCTTGCCATGGTGTGGAGGACCCCCTGGCATGGGGGGACCCCCTGTCATGGGGGACCGCAGGCCTTCAGGGGCATCTGGACATGATGACGGCCAGCGGGCCTCGCCCTTGTGTGGGGGACAGGCGGAGCTGGTGGGGGATGCAGGCAGGGCTGGGCACGCAGGAGATGCCCCGGGAAGTTTTGGGGCTGCTGGCAATTTCCTGCCAGGTGAGTCATGGCCCTGGCAGCGGAAAGCCAAGGAGCCGCCTCTGAGAAGTGAAACGGATACCAGGAAACCACCCCAACAGCCCGCAGCCACGCAAGCCCAGCCACGCACATCCCCGGCCCAGCCAGCATGGCGCAACCGCCAGCATCCTGGATGGACATGGGGCACACTGTGAATTGGGGGTGCTGCCGGCTGCGAGGGCTGCTGTACCTTGCTGACGAGGAGCGTCCCCAAAGGCACCGCGTCCCCAGAGGCCATGTCCCCAGGGCAGCCTGGGTGGGCACAAGGGATCAGGGGGGATAGCAGGGTACTGCACTCTCTGATATTGGGGCAGTGGGAACAGGAGGGGCTGTGCTGGCCACATCACTGCAGGGCCCGGGCAGCACAGGAGGAAGCTGTGGGGAAATGGTGGAGTGGGAGCGCTTGCGCCACTGGCCCCTTCCGGGGCAGCCATGGTCCCCAGAGCTGACGAGGATGGGCGTCATTGTGGCCCCACTGGGCTGGGACTGAGGCCGGGGCAGTTCCTGCTGGAGCAGCCTGACCATGAAGGGCCAGCACGCAAGCACCAGCCCCACACATTGACCCCAAGCATCGCCTCTGCTCTGCCCTGAACACCGATCCCAAAGCATCGCTCCTGCTCTCTGCCCCGCACACCAGCTCCAGATCATCCCCCCTGCTCTGCCCTACGCACAGCCCCTTGCAGCCCCACAGTGCTGCTTGGGGGCAGCCAGCCCAGCCCTCCCAGTCTCACCAGAGGAACTGGGCAAACCCAGGCATTGCGAAAGATGGAAATCCCGCTCTGACATTGCTTCCTTCCACAGGCTCTTGAAAACCCTCTGCACCACCAACCAGACTCAGAGAGCACTCACAAGACACTGCAGGCAGGAGCAGGCAGCCAACTGCCGCAGCACTCTACAGGTACCAACAAGTCTCTGCGCAGGTTTTTCCAATCAGTGGTGGAGATGGCATTTGTCCCCGATTTGGACATGCTGGAGAGCAGAAGGTAAGCGTGGCCATGCCAAAGGGGACGCTGGGGACATGATGCTGCCCATGCTGGGGACATGATGCTGCCCTGGTGCCATGGTGGCTCTGGCTTCACCATCTCCCTTTGCCTTTCAGCCTGAACGAGGAGACATTTTATGACCCTGACTGCCTCTGCCCACAGAAGGTAACACTGGGGTGGTGGGAAAGGGGAGATACCCATGATGAGGAAGCCAGGATCTTACCCCACATCCCCTTTCCTCCCCAGAAACCCCGCCTGGACACAGAGGTGATGCCACCCAGGGTGGGCATCCGGGTGACAGTGACCAAGGGACACCCTGCCAGGAGCTTTCGCCGGGCCGCCGTCCTTGTGGTGGCCATGACCAAGCTTCTGAAGCAGCCAACGTACAAGGACTTTGCTGACAGTGACCTTGGGGGCTTCCTGGATGATATTTTCGGTATGGGGGTGTTGTGTTGGGGCTGTCACCCCAGCCGGAGGATGCTCTTGGGGGATGCGATTGGACCTGGGAGCATCAGCATCCCCCTGACCATCTTGCTCCCCACAGAGCCTGTCTCCTTCCAGTGGATTGAGGGCAGCTATGCCAGGGCACCCATCTTCCGCTACACCCGCTCCCAGTCCTTTGACATTCTTGACATCGACCACAAGTGCTTTGTGCTGGAGTCACCCACCCAGCTGGTGGCCCTGCACCTGCAAGGACCTGCCACTGGGCGAAAAGGTGAGGGGACACGGTCCCAACCCAATGTCCCCATTCCCAACCCCAGGACCACCCAGGAGCCAGCCCACAGCTCCGGGATCAGCTGTTAACCTATCCCTTCTCTCTGCAGTAAAGCTCAACATCGCTCTGTACCGTCCCAAGTCATCGCAGGGCGGCCCAGGGACCGGGCGGGTGCCAGTGGCATTGGGCATCAAGGGCTTCCAACTCTACATGTCATGCGTGATGAGTGGCACTGAGCCTGTGCTGCAGCTGGAGGTGAGTGGGGAATCTGCTGGCTCCATCCCCCATGGGGCTGGAGGCTCTATCCCACCCTGAACGCCGTTTTGCCCCCCTGGTTGTAGGAAGCCGACATCAGGAGGGACATTGAGAGCGTGGAGCTGACCCGCTTCATCTTCTACCGCTTGGACAGCCCGGCCGAGGGGACCACCCGCTTCGAGTCAGCCGCCTTTCCTGGCTGGTTCATCTGCACCTCCCTGCAGCCCCGCCAGCCCGTCGGGATCACCAACCAGCCCGACCAGGTCAACATCGCCACCTACGAGCTGAGCGGGCGCTGAGGAGCTCCCGCACCCAACCCAACCCAACCCAACTGGCAGTTGCTGGTTTTCAGGTTGTATGTACCGAGTACAAACTCCTCAGCTGGGATCCCTGTTTGCTCCATCTATTTCATGTGAAATAGCAGCTCTGGGCCCTGTGGGCCCGAGTCATCCCAGTTTATACTTATTTATTGTGTCTATCCCTTGCTTTTAATTTATGTATATTTTATTGGAAATATTGTAGTTTTGTTATTGAGAATGGAAGTATTTGTTGCTGATGGAAGTAAAGGGTTTCCCAGTATGGTGTTGCTCAGCTCGTTGATCTTAGAGGGGTTAAAGGATGTGGGGGTGGTTTATGGAAGGGAAAATCCTGCTGTTTCAGCTGCTTTTGGGGGTGTAAAGCCTAAGGGGTGGAGGGTGGCTCCACAGCCCTGTGACCACCCCACGCCCAAGGGACCACCCCAGGCCTGGGAACCATGCTGGGGGCGAGGCTGGGGCGGGCATCCCATGGGTGGGGGTGACCCACAGCCCCCAGAAGCCCCTCAGGCACTGCCACCCCCCACTGAGGCACAGCGCGGTGGGCTGTAGCATGGCATGACATGTCATGGCCCGGCACGGTATGACATGGCATAGTGCGCTGTTGTGTGGCGTGGTGTGACACCATCTGGCGTGCCATCGCATAGCATGGTATGGCGTGGCATTGTATGGCATAATATGTTGTGGCACAGCCTGCCGTGGCATGGCATCACATAGCACGCTGCGGCTGGTGTGGTGCGGCATGAGATGGCGTGTCAGGTCATGCCAGGACATGGCACAGCATGGTGCGGTGTGGCATTGCATGACGTGGCATGGCAGGGCATGGCATGGCATAGTCTGGCGTGGTGTGACACGGTCTGGCATGGCGTGGTGTGGCGTGGCATTGCATGGCATGGCGTGGCGTGGCATGGTCTGGCATGGTGTGACATGGTCTGGCATGACATGGCGTGGCATGGCATGGTGTGGCATTGCATCACGTGACATGGCATGGCATGGTGTGGTGTGGCATTGCATGTCAAGGTGTGTCATGCCACGCCACGCCTTTGCCACGCCGCGCCCTCCCACACCCACCGACCCCCTCCCCCGCTGATTGACGGAAATTGGGTCTAATTGACGGAGAAGCCGCTGTACTCCCCGCCCCGCCCCCTTCCTGGACACGCTCCCTTCCTGACCACGCCCCACTCCTGGTCACGCCCCATTATTGGCCACGCCCCCATGGAGGACGCCGTGGGGGGGGGACGGACTCATTGTCACCGCCCCCACGCCCGCCTCTAGCCAATCACGACTCTCCTCGCCCGCCAGCCCCCCTCGGAGCCGACAGTTTCGCGCTCTCCATTGGTCGGTTTGAAGAAGGCGGTGGCCAATGAGCGCGGCGCGACGGCTGGTAGCGGCGGGTGAGCCGTTGGCCGCGCTGTGGCGAGCAGCCGTCATGGAGCGGGCAGGGGCGGCCGTGCAGGGTGAGGGGCGCGGGGGGACGCGAGTGGAGATCTGTGGGGCGGGAGGTGGCGGGGAACAGGGGCCTCTGTGGGGCGGGGATATGGGAGACCCTCTGGGGTGGGGACACCCCACAGGGTGTGGGTTGTGAGTGATCTGTGGGGATAGGAACACGCGTGAGTGCCCGTGGAAAGGGGGGAGGGGGGGATGCTGGGGGAGATCCGAGATGGATTTGGGTGGGCTTGGGGTGGAGGGGTGAGGACAGACGGGGTAGCTGCTGGGCCTTTGAGAGGAGCATTTAGGCGGAGTGGCGGGGGTGAGGGTGTTGTGTGTGTTGTGTCCCCAAAAGGGTGTGCAGGGGGGTACCCACAAAACGGGTGGGTTAACGGGGTTTGGGAAGACAGGCAGTGTGGAGGGGCTGGGAGTGTCCCGTGGGGTGCTGGGAAGACTGGGGGCACCTAAGGGTGCTGCTCCGCTCTTGGGGCCCTGTGTAAGCCTTGTGGTGTAGTGTCAAGGGAAGGGGTGGCCCGGGGGGGAGGGGGACTGGGGTCCCCTCAGAGCCCTGGGCATGTCGGCTGTCAGATGAGGGTGGGATAGCTGTAGGGACAGGGGCAAGGCCCTGAGGACAGGGCAGTGCTGGACTCCAGCCAGGCCAGGCTGTCCTGCCATGAGACGCTCCCGTACCCCAGCCAAACTAGGGCTGTCAGAGGGATCCCCTGTCCCCCACGTTTAGATGCTCCTCGCTTTTCCCACCCGCCTGCGTTAGCAGAGGGCTTGGCCATGGCAGGGCACAGGCTTATGGGATCATAGCTGAAGCAGGGTCAGCAGCAGCATCTCCCCTTTCCTTCTGCAAATTGACTAAGACCCACACAACTGAGGTTTTGAGTGGCATCACGCTGTGAGCATCAGGCAGCTCATATGCCGATGAGCCCCTGGGCAATATCACATTCATGGAAATACTCTGGGAATTCCTGGGAACAGCGTTACCAGGCTTGGGCAGGGAGCTTAGGAGGCCTGTACGGTCGTGCTGTGAATGTAAAAGAAATCCATTCTTGTTGGCATTCCAAATACCAAGGTTGTGGCGCGTGCACTGCATTTTCCTACCATCTCTTTTCAGGAGAGCAGAGAAGATGGCTCCAGGAGTACCTAGCAGCCAAAGAAAAGCTGAAATGCCCAACTGCAAGGTAAGTCAGGAGGATGTTGGAGTTGGACTTGATGATCTGTAAAAGTCCCTTCCAACAACCCAAATCACTCAGTGATTCTCTGAGGCAAAGCTGACTTCCTGGCTTGGCAGTGTCTGCCTTTTCTCTGCAGCGATTCACTAGCGTACAGAATTGCCTCCTGCTGATGTCCCACTGTGAAGGCAGCAACTGGGGGTGGCTCTGCCCCCGCAGCACCCCAGCAGCACTCTGTAGAGTTACTGGCAGCAGAAGCAAAGGGGTTGAGCGTCGACATTTCCTGCTGGTTGATATTATTTCTTCTGGGTATTTTATGAGACTCCGTTAAACTTTCTCATCTCAGCTCCTGGGTCTGGCAGAACAGGCCCTTATTGCCCATAACAGCTTTCTAACTGGGTCTTGAAGAAAGGGTGGTTCAAGTCTCACTGCTGCTTTTTAATGGCAGCTTTCAGTGGCCTTCTGGGATAGGTTAATATTACAAAGGGGCATTTGCAGTGCATTTAAATGGAAATAGATATGACTCCTTGTTAAATGGATTACCTGGTTCTGGGACCCCTTCACTGCCTTGCTCAGTCCCTCTGGAGCCAGGCTGTGTGCAGGTACACAGCTTGCAGGCTCCAGATAGTGAGGCACCTTTCTGCAAAGATTTAATTGAAACTGCTCATGTGCTTGACAAACCTGAACACTTGAAAGACTCCCCATTGCAGTGAGTATTTCTCATGATGCAAAGGAAGCCATAAAACATCTCCATGGGGAGAAGATAAAGGGAAGCAGGATCAGAGACCAGAAATAGCCAACCAGTCTCTGGTGTCAGGCTCGGGAAAACACCACTAATACAATAGAAATGAGGAGAGAAGATTCATGATCTTTCTTTATGGCAGAGTACACCACTTTTGTAGAACAGAGGACAATACCCTAACTCTCTGGACTCTTTCACTGCAGGAAACTATCTGCACAGGCATTAATCTTCCGTAACGGCTGAGCTGCTAGCTCCAGAGCTGAGGGCTGGGAGAACCCTGCAGCTGGTTGCTGTCAGAGGGCTGCAACTGAGGGAGAGGAGGACAGGATGGGGGAGAGCCGACAGCCAGGGCTGGAGCACTCCAAGACACCACTGTGACCTGCAGCATGGCAGCAGCCAGCTCGGCTGCACCTCAGCTGTCTGCAGCACAGGGGGCAAGTCGGGATGCCAGCCAGGGGCAGCAGTGTCAGGAGCCTTCAGACCTATTGTGGTCTGCCTGCCAGGGCCCCCTGCCTGCTGGAACCATTTTGGTTACTTTTGGTGGTGGTGGAAGCCAGAAGTTTTGTGATGACCCCGGATGCCAATGTTTTGTGTTGCTTTTTTGTTCCATGCAAAAAAAAAAAAAATAAAAAAAAAATTATGTGATACTTTCTTGATAGCTTTTTGGTTTCCGAAAGCTTCTCATAAGCTCCTGTAACTGAGACACCCAGCAGTGTTTTAGATATTTAACCTTTTCTGCAACATCTGTTAAATAACCTGATATACTATTTGACTTCCTACAGACCCTTTTTAAAGGACCAAACAAATCACCTGAATCCACCTTTAGAACCAGTTTCTAAACTAGATCATGTAAGTAGAAATCTTTTGAGTCTAGTTTTGTATTCCACTATTTGTATTTCTGTCTGACAGAACAGGATACCCAAATCAGGATATCTTCTTTTCAGAAGAACTTAGTGTGGGAGACTCATCCTCTGCCCATGCATTGCTGGGTGTTGTGTTACTGTTCTGTTGACAACGGCTTTGTCACCGCGGGCCTTCTCATGGATGTCTCCTGGGCTAGCAGGGCTGGGGCAGGAGCGAGCTGTCAAGGGGTGACCAAGCTGAGCTCTTCGCGGGGCTGAGGTTTGCTTTGCCTCTCCAGGTTGACAGGAACAAGAAGGATGTTCTCAGAAACATGGCGAAGGGCACTCAGAGGGATGGCAAGCTTGGTGCCAAATCCACACAGCACACTGGCCACACTGCTCAGCAGAAGTCTTCAAACACATCCCAGAGAGCAGCGGTGGTGCATCCAGAGCAGCAGAGAAAGAGCACAAAGCTTCCTATGGGACTCGTGCCAAGCATGAGCCGCTCTACACAGACCAGGGGGAGGCTTCCAACTTCAAACTCTGGTCGCCTAAAGCCAGAAATGAACAAGAAGCCTGTACAGGAGACTGTTACTGCTGCAGCACCTCAGACTGGAAGTGACCACCCACCTCCTGGGGTACTTCGCTCCCTAAATGAGGGCCTGCAGGACAAGCTAGTCTGCAACAAGGCGACCGTCCGAGCACAAGCCTCTGCACAGCCTGTGCTGAACAGAGTTTTTCGGTCTGATGGAAACAATTTCGGGAACAAGAGAGTCTTGGCTCACAGGCAAAGCTCAGCCACGATGACAAGAATGGTCATGGGCTCAAAGGACAGAATTAATAGCTGCCAGGCTAAGGAAGAGCTGATTCAGGATAAATTCAAAAAAACCCTTCCAGGTTCAAGGAGCACATTTCAAAAACCAAGAATCAAAACTCAGCCATTGCAGCCCCCTCCATTAGTTACTGCTTCTACTAATTTGCTACATAAAAAAACAGAGGCAAACCAGGAAAAGACTAATATGGCAAGACAACCCAGAGGAAAGCCACCTGGCATACTTCCAGTGGGAAGTCTTAAGGACCACAGTAGATCCCCTCAAATTAAAAGATCTCCCATAAAGCCTCTGGCTTCCAGCAGGCCACAGGGGGCCACAGTCCTGAAATCCAGCCTGAAACCACATAGCACCATGCAATGGCAAAGGCCTGTGGCTAAAGGGGAGGCAGATAGGAAGGATGTGAAGGTAGCGTCTGCCAGACACACAGCAGCATCCCGGGTGACAGTCCCCCCAAACCAGCCTCACAGCACACACAGCTCCAAAACTCAAGCAACCGAGAGCAATTTTACAAGTAGGAGAGATAGGCTTAAACCAGAGCTGTCAAAGGCAAGCGGGGTACAGGCTAGGCGTGTTCCCAAGACCCCATCAGCTGCAGACCGTAAGTAAGTAGCAACTTCGGCTGACTCAGTCCTTGCCTCCAGGGGACAGTAGAGTTTAAAGTGTTCAACTGGGTGAACCAGCACCAAACTGCTGAAAACAGAGTCCAGAGTCCCCTTATCAGTGAATGCCTCTTTGGAGGTTGACACCCCAGAAGAGAGGAGGGTGGGGGTGAGATTTGGTGGTACCTTGGGTTCCTCACCCGCCGAATCAGCCCACAGGAAGAGAGCATGCAGCCGCTCTCCTGTTTTATCTTCAAGGCACACTTAAACTTGAGGGGGTTTTCCTTTCCCAGCTTAGCACTTGGACACATTTTTAGAATAGATATAATGGTTCTTCCTGAGCAGCAGAAGTTGCCTAGAGGGAAATTACAAGGGAAAACAGTATCCTGGCAAGTGCTGGTGGTCTACTGGGGTGGTAACAGTGATCCCTTGGTCCTTTGACAGGAAACAGCTGGAGGAGTGGCTGGCATCTAAAGGCAAGACATACAAGCGGCCACCTATGATTCTGCTTCAGAAGCCGTCAGTGAAGGTGTCCTGGAGAAATGTCAAGGAGAAAGAGAAGGAAGAGAAACCAGAGCAGCTTTGCCTGGAGAAGATCAAAAGCATATTAACTGAATGCCTGAAGTTCGTTGAGGAGGTGGGAATGGGAAAGGAGCTGCTTGAACAGGCTGCTCTTCTGCTGGAGTATCCCAGGAGATGAGGGCCATGTCCCCCCTAGCAGCACAGAGGGGTTTGGAACAAACATTCTTGCTCGCTTGGCTGCAGTTGCCAGAGGGGTAACATCATGTGTAGGGAAAGCAGAAGTCCTCATGGAGTTACAGATAGGCCAGAGGCATGCAGTGAGATGTGCGAAGGGGGAAAATGGAGCAATACCCAGTCACTGGGCTTGCATGTGTCATTGCTGGTGTCCTGGTACCTGGCAGTGCAGTCTGCAGCAGGAACTGCTGTGGCAGCAACTCAGGCTGATTGAGCCAGCTTGAGGTACATCCCTGATGGACCTCAGAGCTGCTGTGAAGTATCACCCCTGAGAGTGCTGACCGTGAGCCCTACTCCAGGGCTTAGTGATTCTGTTAGTGCCAGCCCTGAGGAGTCTATCCCTCAACATCCCTCTGAGATATTAGACTCATTTTACAAAAGGGAAAATAGAGGCAGGAAAGCTGTTATCTGTCCACAGTCATGTTCAAGACTTGCCAAACCAGACTCTCCAGACCCTTCTTTTCCTAGAGAGCGCTAGGAGATTGGTTTTGCACTGACAGCTCCCCCAGTGCACACCTCTGGTCCTTGCAGCTGACACCTTTCTCTGGGACATTGCCTTTCTTGTAGGGTGTCCAGGCAGAGGAGCTCTCTGAAATGTTGTCCCACGTGCCCCAGGCAGAGAAATTTGCCAAGTTCTGGATTTGCAAAGCGAAACTGCTCGCCCGGAGCGGCCCTTTTGATGTAATAGGACTGTACAAAGCAGCAGTCTGCGCTGGTGCTGTGGTGAGTGAGATGTACTTCTCTTCTGTAGCTCCCTGTGCTCCCTGCCTCTGCGCCAGCCAGTTTTCTCAAGATCTAGGGATCAGATTTGGGGATGAGTTTAGCAGCACTAGTCACTGGTAAAAAAAGCCCTTTAGAGCTGCTGGTTGCATTTTGTCACACAGAAACACCTTTGTTTTTAATCAGCCAGGCAGGCAGTGCTGGGCAGGCATGAACGGGGTCGGGGATGAGCAGGGAGGACACACACCCCACGCCCTGTCGGAGCTGTATCTGGGAGCTGTGGGATGGCAGCTATGTGCTGGTCTAGGCAGCATAACTGCAGCATCTGGTGGGATTTACTCAGGCAGGGTAGACGCCTGCCCAGCCGTGCCCATGTGCTGACAGATCTCACTTGGAGAAGGGAAATTCTGCAGTCTTTTGTCACTGTCTTCAGCACAGGGTGTCAGCGATGCAGCAAAAATTCCTACTCAGTTGTAACTTCAGTCTCCCTTCCTGAGTCAGACCTGCCTTGACTTGCATTCTGCTTTTCCTCCAGCCGCTCCAGGAGCTCAGAGAAGTTGTGCTTGATATTTTGAAGGCTGCAGACCAAACATCAGAAGGTAACATGCGTGTGAGGGTGAGCCAGAAGCTTGGGCAGGCTGGGGTTCCCTGCTGCTCCAAGCAGGGAAGCAGCATGGTTTGCAGTCTGTCCCAGCACCCCATGTCTCTGTTGACTTTGATGGAGACAGTGTTCTGACAGTCAAGAATCCTGATCTCAGAAATGAGGCAAGATTCCTTTGCCAGGGCTGGGCATGGTCCAGCATGCCTCTTGTAACTCGCCCATGTCTGCAGTGATGCAGCGTTATAAGCCCTCCCCAGCTGCCACACTCTGCCCTTTCTGCAACCACACTGCCCTTTTCCTCTCCTGCCAGGGGAAAAAGCTGCTCAGCCCATTCCTTTGGAGCCTACAACACCTTACTCAAGTGAGAGGCAGCACATGGTAGCGACTCCATGCCTGACAGGGAGGTCCCTGACCAGCCTGCCTGCCTCAATCAAGTTGCAAGTTACATCTGCATACAGGTAAGGCTGAGCTGCCTGCTCCTAGGAGCAAGCACCCTCTGTGCCAGCCCTCCTCTGTGGGATTTACTGAAATACTCTTGTCTTCTCCACAGAGGAAAGGAGTTGCTGGAACACCCAGAGATTAAATTCCTAACGCCAGTGCGGCGCTCACTGCGGATAGAGCGGGCTGGGAGCTGCTACCCAGAGATGCTGAAGGACCATGACCCTGTGGTGTCATCCCTCAGTGAAGCCCTGGATGCTGAAGACCAGGCTCAGTTTTTCTTCCGGAAAAACAAGGCTTTGCCAGAGGTGGCAGAGCTGGAGGGGTTGAGTGTGTATTCCCCAGAGTGCTGCTGAGGGATTCCCAGCGAGGTGCAGGCTGCTTGCTCCCCTGTGCTGCCTTGCACACACTCCACTGACTTTTCAAGTTACCTCTTGTGTAAATATGCAGGGGTGGCACCTAATAAGCCAGTTTCAAATATATAAGCAGTGTTTTAAATGTATAAAACCTTGCAATAAAGGTACAGTGTGGCCTAGTGAGTAGTGTGCAAGGAGCAGGTCTGGAGACGTGGGCTGTGTCCCCTGGGACTGCCCTTGGCTCCTCTGCTGTGACTCATTCCCTCGTTTTCCTCCTTTGTGATGAGGTCAGTCACACTGCAATGCTCCAGCCACCCTCCACTGTTTTGGAAGCAACATCCCAAGGGATTTGCTCCAGCACTGCGTTGTGTCCTACAGCATCCAGATGGTCCCTACCAAGAGGCACGTGCAGACCCTGTGTGTGCAGCACCAGCTATGCCAGACTGGCGAGAGGCTGGGGGAGCTGGGGCTCCTGTGGGACCACAGCAGCTTCCGAGTGAGCTGCTTCAGCCTCCAAGAGGGATGCAGCAGGCCAGGTTCCGTGATCCCTGGGCATGGCTGGGGGTCTGGGACAGGCTGGCGGGGACAGCCCCCTGCTTGGGGCAGCAGCCTCCCCTCCCTCAAGGGCCGCCCAGAGCAAGCAGCAGCACGAGGAGCTGGGGCTTGGCATGGTTTCCGTGCTGTGAGGAGGAAGGCAGGGTGGCTGCTACAAAGGGTGGAGGGGAGCCACATCGTCACCTTCCCATCCTCAGCAAGCAGCAGTCCTATCCTTGTCCTGCCCTTCTGCCTTCTCCCAACACAGCCACCACAGGAGTTGGCTCAGCAACTTTATTGAGAAACCTTGATGCTGGAAGAAGTCTTAAGAGCAGTATCTGGAAGTCCTGGCACAGATCTGGCTCTGGTCCGGGGAGCGTGGCCGGCCCAACCCTTCACCCAGGATGCAGGACAGCGCTGCTGGTGGTGGGGTGTCTTGGGGGCTGTGCGGGGGCGTGCACTTGTCCCAGCTGCTGTCTGAGGATTTGGGAATTGCTCTTTGCCCCCACCTCCCAGGCTCAGTGGCAAAGCAGTTTTCCTTTAAAATAGCCAATATCATGTCTCTGCGGTGCCAGGAGTTTGAGTATCTTTTATAAATAGAAAAGGGTAGAAAACAGCAGGTAAAAGCAGTTCCCAGGGAGCGGGAGTTGCCTCCAGAGCCCTCCTATGCTTGAGCAACATCCACCCACCTCCACCCAGAGCAGGGTCCCAGCACCGTGGTGCCTGGGGCCAGACACCAGAGCTGCTGGGACCATCGACCCGCACAAACTAGGATTCCAGCAGTAACCCTGCACAGCAGAGCTGCCAGCCCTGCCCAGCATTGGGTGGCTCCAAGCTGGAATCGAGCTGGTTGGGAGTAGCAGCTGATGCTGGCTGGGGGGGCCGTGAGTGAAGGTGGGGGCACAGGCTCCCTGTAGGCTCTGGGGGACCTTTCTCCCGGCTCCTGGCACGGGCAGGAGAAGGGCACCACTGGACTGGGGCGAGGCGTGACACGGGGCAGGGCCACCAGCCATCCTGTGGCCACTGGAAGGGGTGGCTGGCCGCAGGTGGCTTCGGCCTGGCTGTCAGCGCAAGTGGTCTGGGGCCACCGAATGCCCTCCTGGGGGTTGGCACCTGCCAGCTCAGCAGCCGTTGGTGCCGGGGTGGGCTCAGGCTTCTCCATCATCATCCTCCTCCTCCTCCCCGCTGGAATCCTGGGGCACCCCAGCAACCTGAGATGGAGGTGGGGGGCTCAGTGGGCACAGGACCCCATCAGCATCAGCGTACTGGTGCTGGGACTCTCGTGCCCATGGCCACCAGGTGCTTCTGTCCCCAGTCACGCACCTGCGGGCCAGGGTGGCCGTGCTGGGCCAGCCAGGGTGCCAGGGCTGTGCCTGCCTCCCCAGCATCCAGGCGGCTGTGCTCCACTGTTGACTCGTGTGCCATCTGTGGCAGGGAGAGGGCTTGCAGAGGGGCCAGCACCGACCAGCCAAGGGGTGGAATACTCACCAAATACCTCCATCAGCCCCAGATCCACGGAGGGAAATTGAGGCATGGTGGGTGGGGGGGAGGCCAGGAGCTGCCTACCAGGACAGGGGGTGCTCGGAAGAGGTAGCTGAAGGGGTAGTAGAGGAAGTTGATGAAGGAGGCAGCATAGAGGTCCGCGTAGCGCATCAGCTGATTAGCGAAGAGTGTCTGGCGTGAGCCGCAGCGGAAGAGGCTGCCCATCTTTCCGTAGCACATGTCCATCTCATGCGTGACTTTCTGCGGGTGCAGCAGCATGGTCAGGGCACCCAACAGCCCCCCCTGGAGTGCCCCCCCCCTCCCCCCCATGGCAGGAGTGATCTGTGTGGGTCGGCTGGGATGGCACCCCAGGCATCACCTGGATCTGACGCTTGATGGAGCTGATGTCCGGGCGCTCGCTGCTGCCGCTGTCCAAGTGCCTGGAGTGTGAGAGACCCGGACGAGGGCTCACCTGGAGGGTCCCCCACAGGTGCCCGCACCCCCCCTATCCCCCCCTTCCTGCCTGCCCCGTGCCAACTCACTGGTACAGATCTGCCAGGAAGAGGTCCAAGCTCCGCAGCTCCTCAAACAGCTCTGCAAGTGCAACAGAGCCAGCTCAGTGCGGGCAACATCCCCCACTGCCCAGCATGACCAGCACAGGGCGTTGCAGCACATCCCACTGGGGCCAGTTTTGACGTCGAGGGGGGTCAGAGGCGCCAGACCACCTCTCCTGGCTGGGCTCAGCCGTGTCCCTGGCCAGGCAGGATCCGTGTGCCTGACCAGGCGCTGCTCACCGCTCTTCTCTGTCCAGACCTGCAGCTCACGGGCCAGCTCGGGCACCACCAGGAAGGTGCGCCAGCCCTGCCGCTTCTTGGATTTAAGGATGTCCCCGAAGATGTGGTCCCCCATGTAGAGGATGTCTTTGCCCTTCACGCCCAGCAGGTCGCACACCACGTCCGAGGAGCCTGCGACAGCCAGACATCGGGGGTGATGGCGTGGGCACGTCCCCTGTGCTGCCCCCGGAGCCCAGCCGGGCACTTACCCCCGGAGTAGACGGCACAGTGCTGGAGCGGGCCTGTGTACGTCCCGATGCGCAGCTTCCCTGTGTCCTACAGGACAAGACGACCCCCGAGACGGTGTGGGGGACACACACACCGTTAACCGTGCCCACTCAGTTCCCTCTCAACGGCAAATCCACTCTGCTGCGCCCACAGGAGCCCCCGCAGTGCCCAGCACACCGACCAGCCCTGCGGCAGTGGACGGGGTCCCCACCGTGTTGACTTGGCGCAGGACGGTGCCCTCGGCGAAGAAGAGCGGCTTGCGGGTGTCCACCACGATGAGGTCAAAATAGGATCGCCAGGGGCGCGGCGTGGTCTCGGCCTGATGGGGTTTGGCGGGGGGGGGGGGGGGGGTGTGGGGGTGTGGTCAGTGAGGGGCTGCTGATGGCACCCTGTACCCCCCCACCCGGCCCACACCAAGGACAGGCTCACCTTGTCCCCATTGCTGAAGTCAAACAGGTAGGACATGATGGCCTGCAAGGACACCCGGTGTCTCCATCACTATTCCCCAGTATGGCAGCCCCCTGCCTCTGCTTTGCCCACCCCCGCACCCCCCCCAGGGCAAGCTGGAGGCAACAGACACCCCCTACTCACGTCAGTGTAGTTGTAGTCGCTGTTGGTGGCCAGAAAGACCTTGCCCACCTCCTTCATCCGGCTCAGCAGAAGCGGCACACGGGGCTGGTGAGGAGCAAGTCAGCGTGGGGAGGGCTGGGAGGGGGGGGCCATGGGGACCCAGTGGCCAAGGGAGCAGGATGGGGAAGGCGGGGGGGGGGTGGTCCATGGGGTTCCACAGACACTCACATCCTTCACCACGTATTTCTCCAGGTTCTCCAGTGTCTTCTCCTTCAGGCAGCCCTGCAGAGGGGATGGATGGGGCTGGCCAAAACCCCCCCTGGGGTGGGGGCACCCTCAGCATCCATCCCCCGCCCCCCCCCAGCCCCCTCCTGCCCACTGCACCCACCGAGAGGTGGACGTGGTCCATGGCCTCGCGCACATCCTGGAACATGCTGCGGAAGGACATGAAGAGGTTCCCGTGCTTGTAGCCTGTGTCGCAGCTGTAAGGGTCGGGAAAAGGAGGTGTGAAGGGGGTGAAGACCCCCCCCCCCTTCCACCCCAGAGCCACCAGGTCCAAGCCCCCACCCACCATCTCCCTCTTACTTGACATATCTGGAGCAGTTGGTGAAGAAGTCCACGAGACAGGCATAGAGGTGGGCCTCTGCCGGAGAGGGGGGTTTGAGAGGGGATTGGGGGGGGGCGGGCAGCATCCCATGACGGTGAGGGGCAGCATGTTGTGGGGGGGAGGGGCAGGATCTCACCTGTGAGGTTGAAGAGGGTGTTGAGAATGTGGAAGCGCTTCATGTCATCCCGTTGAATGAACTTGTTGGGGTAATAGTGGAGGATTTCGGCCCTGGGGAGGGAGCATGGAGCTGCACCCCACGCCGAGGGACCCCTGCCCTCCAAGCCCCTGGGGCTGGGTGGGTCCCGGACTCACCCCTTGAGGAAGCGGAAGCCATGGGCGCAGACCAGCAGGTTCCCATGGGAGTCCACCTTCAGCAGGTTCCCATAGAGGGCATCGAAAACCAGCCCCCTGCGCCACACGCCCTGTCAGCGGGTGGGGGGGAGGGTCCCACCAACACCCTCCCCCTGTGCCCCTTCCCCCCCCCCCAAAAAAAAAACTCACCGGGTGGGGAAGGTGGAATCATACTTGTAGGCAAGGATCTCGTGGGGGTACCCAATGGAGACGAGGTGCTCCAGCAGCAGGGCAAAGGCCAGCTCCTCATAGTCAGGGGACTTGTACACTGCGGGGGGGGCAGAGGGGTGGCGTAGGCAGGGGCTGCGGGGGGGTCCCCCCACCCCTGACCTTGCCTCAGTCCCCCCACCACCCCAGAAAACGCACTGGCCAAGGTGTAGTCCATGTCGAAGCCGAAACACTTGATCTTCTCTAGCGCCAGACTCCGGTTGACGAAGATCCTGGGGGCAACCGGGGTGGGGGGGTTACGTGGTGGGGGTGTCTGGGGCTAAGGGGTGGCACAGAGGAGGGGATGGGGACCTGTCCCCTCGTCCTCTGTCCCTGGCCACGGGCCTGGGGGGAGGGCTGTGCGCCCGCCCTGGCCCAGGGGCACCACAAAGAGTTATTGGAGCAGAAAAATGGGCTTTTGAGCTGGAAATGGAGCCGGGAGGGGGGGGCAAGGCAGTGAGGGGGGGGGGGGACGGTTTTGGCCTATCCCCCTCAGTGTGTCTACATGGGGGGGTTACCCCAGAGCCTCTGCCCCCCCCCCCCAAGAGTCCTCCCTCGTACCTGCACCCCTGAGCTCCTTTCCCCAGGACCTGTCCCCCTCAAAGTAACCCCCCCATACCTGCTCCCCCCAAACCCTTTAATCGCAGCTCCAAGGCCTGCTGCCCCTTCCCCGCTCCCCGCAGTCCCGCTGCCCCCCCCCCCCCGGCCCCACCGGTGCTGGCAGTCCCTCCGCAGCGCCCGTGGGTCGCCCTGTCCCGGGCCCGGAGCCGCCGCCGGGCCCCGCTCCCCCTCGCTGCCCATCGCCGCCGCCTCCGGCCGCCGCCTCCGGCCGCCGCCGCTTTAACGGGGCCCCGCGGGACCGCCCCGCCCCGGCCCGGCCCCCCCCCCCCCCCGCCCCGGGCCAGCAGCCGGGACGGGACCGGAGGCACCCCGTGGTGGTACCCGCCCCCCAAAACGGGGCGGTGGTGCCCCCCCCCCCCCCCACGGGGCACTGCCCCCCCCCTCCGCAAAACAGGGCAATGCGCCCCCAAACGGGGCACTGCCCCCCCCCCCCAAAAAAAAAAAACCGTGCACCCCCAAAAGGGGCTCTCCCCCACCCCCCGGGCAGTGCCGCCCCCCCCCAGCCCGCGGGGCCCGAGCCGCCCCTCCCGGGGGACGCGCCCTCCCACGGCCCCGGCCCCGACCGCGCCAGGAGCGCCCACGGGCGCCCGGCCCGGAGCCCCTGGGGCCGGTGTTTGCCCAGCGGGGCCGCGGGGACCGACCGGCGGGCGAATCATTAACCGGGGTCAAGGACAGGCCCCGCCGCCGCTCCGGGGGGTGCCCCGGCCCCCCGGAGAGGGGCTGGGGGAACGAGGCACCGAGGGTTCCAGCTCTAGGGGCCACCCCCAGCACTTCACACCGGAGGGACAGGGACTGAAGGGTGCACCCACATCCCCTGGGTCCCAGTAGGAAATGCCCCCCCCCCCTCTTTCCCGGGAGGGGGTCACAGCCCCATGTAGCACATCCCAAACCCTATGGGTCCCTTCATCCCCATCCCTCCACCCCCAGGCAGGGATCAGCACCCCATCCCCCTTGGAAACCCGGGGATCCAGGCTGGCCCCCCACCCACCCAGGCCCGTCCTGGGTCCCACTGCAATCAGCCACAGCTCTTGCGACACCCCAGTGCTGACTCACTGACGTGGGTCCCTGTGCCTGGCCTTGACCAGAGCTGGGCCCCCCCCCCCAGGACAGGAGGGAACAGCACTGGGGCACCCCAGGGATGGGGACACGGAGGGGACAGCAGGAACAGCTCCTTCCTCAGGGCTGGGGGACAAGAGGGGCCGGTAACTGGATCACAACTGCTCCCCAGGTTTGGGGCCCCAATAGCACCCCCCCCCCCTTCCCCCCCAGGGCTATTTACAGCCAGTCCCATGACACAGGGGGGGACACACGTGGGGCTGTTATCATGCACCCCAGGCCCAGCACCCTCCCAGGGCGTGGGTCAAAGGAAGGGGTGGCCAACGCCACGAGGCAGCACGTGACAAGGGACAGCACCCAGGACCATCTCCGCACCCCCCCACACACACCCCCCCCCCCCCCAAGATCACTGGCAGCGCTGGCATACGAAGGAAACCTTTATTGAGTCTGAGGTAGCAGCAGTGGGGGGGGCTGGGGGGCTGCCCCCCAGGGACCCCCAAAGCAGGATGGTTGGGCAGCATCTGATGTCCACACCACTACAGCAATGGAGGCAAAGCTGAACACAGCACAGCCCGCAATGGGGGAATGCCCCCCCCATGGCCCCCGAGCCCTCCCGGGAGGGGCAAGGACCAGCCCCAGTCCTTACTCAAGGAGTAATCACTGCCAAGGATCTTAACTAAGTCATTAAAAATAAAAGTGGCCTCCCATAACTGCTAATCTAAAGCTACAGCGCAGCAGGGGAGTCACCCCAGGGGCAGGTACAGCCTCAGCACTACACCCCCTCTAGTAACTTAGCGCCAAGACATTTATATTAAAAAAAAAAAACAAAAAAACAAAAAACATATATATATATACTTCAGTGACAACACTACACAGAACTGAGGAAGCCCCAGAGATGATGGCAGCCCCCATCCCGCGGTGGGACGAGCCTCCCCAGCTCCTGGAGGGGAGGGGGCAGCAGGGAAGCAGGAGCAGCTCAAGCCCCGGTGCCCTCACACCTTCAGGATGGCATACTTGAAGACAGCCATGATGGCAGCGCTGATGAGACCCGAGATGGGGACAGTGACGAACCAGGCCATGAAGATGTTGCGGAAGAGGCGCCAGTCCACTGCCTTCCGGGAACGCAGCCAGCCCACCGACACTACAGAGCCCACCTGCCCAAGGAGCCGGGGCACGGCTCAGCACCACAGCAGGACAGGGCACCCACCAGTACCCACCACCCCCCAAGCCCTCCCCCGGGAAAGCCTCAGCTGCGGGGCCAAGGGTCTTGCTCCAACCCCTGGGGACCCAGCAGACCCCCAGCAAAGAGGAGGGTGAGGAGCTGCCACCCCAGAGCGGTGACTGGGGACAGGGCCCTGCAGCACCTGGGTTCCCACAGCCACCTGGCAGAGCCCAAAGGGGTTTTGTTCTTCAATCACCTCCTCAAGCGCCCCCCTCTCCCTTCCCAGGGACTCCCCCCAGCCCTGGGCAGCCGCTGCCACCCTGCACTGAGGTGCAAGTTGCAGAGCTGGGACCCACCGAAGGCCAACCAGCAGCCTGGTTTGGGGACCCCCCTGCCCAGCTCAGCCTTATCAGCACCAGGATTCGGGGGAAGCCAGCACCACCCCCCTCCTGCCACCCCCATCTACCTTGCAGTGGGTTGTGCTGATGGGGAGGCCAACATTGGAGGCGATCACCACCGTCAGGGCAGATGCCAGCTCAATGCTGAAGCCGCTGCAGAGACAGAAAATGCATGAGAACCCAAGCACTGGACCTCCTGCACTGCCCAGCACATCAGGCTGGCTCAGTCTAAACCATACCTAGGGCTGCTCTCCCCAGGCAGACCCTGCACAGCAGGGTCATCTCTTCAGCTTGGCTCTCCAGACCCAGACTGACACCCTCCCCAAGCCAAAGGGATGCAGGGACATTTTATGTGGCCACACACATCCCAGCTCCACCACCCAAGCAATGAAACCCTTAAGGAGAGCATGGAGAAGGCTCCAAGAGCAGGATGCAGCTCCAGGACTGCCTGAAGTCTCCCCCTGCCCCAAGGCAGACCTTACCTCGACGGTGTGATGGGAGTCAGGTCCTTCCCCATCGTCTGGATGACTCTCCTTCCCCAGACCCACAAGCCGATGCAAATTCCCACACCTCCATAAAGCAGCAGCCAGATGGGAGTCGCCACCTTGGTAGCCACATCACCCGTCTGATAGACCAGGTAGAGCGCAACCAGGGGCCCTATGGCATTGCTGGAAGAGAAAGGAGAGCTGGACTAGAGAGCAAGAGGCTCTGGGCAAGACGGGCACCAGCCCCAGCGAGCAACTCCACCGCTTCTGTTGACCCAACTGACCTGACATCATTGCCACCGTGAGCAAAAGAGCCAAAGCAGGCGGTGAGGATCTGCAGGAACTGGAAGAGGAGGGACACCTCGGGTTTGTCCTGGTCATGCCACTCTTCCAGGGAGCTGCTGCTGCCCTTGCGGTTGCTGACACCCATCTCCACCTGGGCCGTGTTCAGATCCACATCAGCAGCAGGGTGGGCATCCGCCACCGCATTGCAGTAGCTGGTGTAGCTGTCCATGCGGACCCTCTTCTTGGTGTCCGCCACAGGCCAGGTCAGCTTCTCCATCTCCTCCCCTTCCTTGGCCCGGAGGGAGTCCAGCGGCATGCCGCAGATGGCCATGGTGTAGGAGGTGTAGCTGTTGTTGCGCCGCAGGGGCTTGTCCCCCGAGTCCCCCATGCAGTCCCCCATCTTGGCCAGGTGCAGTTTATGCAGCAGCTCCTTGTAGAGGCCAGAGTCCTTGTGCACGGTGTGGTACTGGTACTGCCCACTGGAGCTCATCTGGTGGCCCATGGCCTGGTTGAACTGGACGAGGTTGCCATTGGGCAGCCTCATGGCTCCTTCCAAGAGAGACAGCAGGGGTTTAGCATCCAGGGTACCTAGGGTGGGGGGGGAAGACCCCAGCACTCCTGTCACTCACCACTGTCAATGCTGGTTTCCTTCAGGTCAAGGCTGGGGAGCCTCTCCTGCTCCAGGGCCTCCTCCAGGTCCCCCAGGTTGAAGGAGACTGTCCTCTCCTCCACTGCTGCCCGGTGGGGCACAGCCGACCCCACATCAGCAACAGGGCTCTTGGCATCGCCCAGGGGCACCTTGGGCGCCTCATTGTCCTCCTTGGGGCTGATGTTCTTCTCCATCAAGGGGCTTTCAGAAGGACTGGATTTGATCTCTCCTGCAAAGGGAGGAAGCTGCCATCAAACCCCTTCCCACCACCACACCCAACACAACGAGCAAGCCCACACCCCTCATCACTCAGATTTATGACAGCTAAATAACATTTACAGCTTCCCCCTCCCACTCCCCAACCTGAACTTTGGAAATGGCTGGACAGTCGTACCTTGTCCCAGGCACAACAGCCAAACCATCACAAGCCAGCTCATCTTCTATTTTTAGACCCCACCCACCCACAAAGGGTGTGGTGAGCACCATTATGGGGCTTTTATGTCCGTTCTTCCTACGGCAGAGGTTCCTCTTTGAGCCATGTTTGTCCCATCCCCATGCCCAGCACCGGTGGGATGCTCTGGAACTGCTTTGGGGTGGTTCCAACCCCAGAAGCTAATGAGAAGGTCAGAAGAGCCCAGCTACTCTGCCAGCCCATCAGCTCCAGCCTGCCAGGAGGACTTGTATGCCTGGGCTCCTCTCCAGCTCCCACTGGTGGGTGACAAACCCAAACAGGAGCTGGTCTCCACCTCCCGAGGGCAGCCTGGTTTCCTGTCCCACTGGAAAAGCCAAGCCAGTGGCATCAATCCCTGGAAGCTGAGGCTGTTACTCCCCCTCTACTGGGAAAAGCATGTTTTCTTCAGGTGAAAACATGAGGTCACCTCCTTCAGACAACAACAAAAACCACCTACTTGTCACAAACATGACCATTTCCCAGACAGCTTGCTCACTGCAAGGGCCAGGCTGTGGCAACCAACCCCTCACCCTGACATCAAGGTCCCGCAGAGCACATCTCCCCCTGCATCACCACCTCCTCCCAGCAAAGCTCTTCAGCAGGCAGCCTGCCTTGCAGGCAGGAGTTAAGCCAAAGCTTGAACAGCTGGAAGAATGTCAAGCGCAGCCATAAAGCTGTTAGTCACACCCCAATTACACCAGTCTGACAAGGACACT